CCCGTGTTCCCCTTGTTGCCTCAGCCAGTATCGGAATCCTCGGCGTCGACATATCGAGTGACGTGCAGTTTCGTGGTCACTTGGAAGGGAAGGCCAAATTGGCCTCTAAAAAAGCTTGGCGTGCTCAGCAGAGCGGGACAGTATTTCATGCCGGCACACCGCCTGCAACTATACAAGGCGCAGGTTCGGCCGCACCTGGAATACTGTTCCCATCTCTGGGCTGGGGCTCCCCAGTACCAGCTTCTTCCACTTGACCGCATCCAGCGCAGAGCGGCTCAAATCGTCGACGACCGAGTGCTTTCCGATCGGCTCGATTCACTGGCGCTGCGAAGAGAAGTTGCATCTCTTTGCGTATTTTATCGCATCTATCACGGGGAGTGCTCTGAGGAATTGTTCGGATTAATCCCAGCCGCCAAATTTCGTGAACGCACTACACGTCAAACGTCCCTATACCATCCACACCATCTGGATGCTTGGCGGTCCACCACTGTACGTTTCACAAGGAGTTTTCTGCCACGTACAACCTCTCTGTGGAATAGTTTACTACCGGCGATTTTTCCGGACCGATACGACCTGGGGACCTTCAAGAAAAGAGCTCACTCCTTTCTAAAGGGCCGGCAACGCACCCGCAATTCTCCTGGTGTTGCGGTTGATCATGGGCGGCGGTAGTCACTTAACATCAGGTGAGCCGCATGCTCGTTTGCCCCTTCTTCTATAAAAAAAAACACAGTACACAGAATGTGTGCCCTCCATAATAAAATAATTCATCCAATCTTCAAGAGGGGTGACGGGAATCTCGTTAATAATAATTATTGCCTCATTACGGTGCTTAGTGCTTTATCCAAGATTTTGGAACGTTTGATTAACAGGCGACTAGTAAAATATCTGGAGCACTGTAGTACTATCTCTTCCCAACATTTCGGATTTCGTAAAAATAAATCCACTTCTGATGTTATTCACGAATTAACCACTTTCGTCGTATTCTGTGAGAGCGTGGTCCTTTCCCTGTCGAGCCGACCCATTCGTGCTACTATATATGCAGCCTGGCTCTACCACGTATAAAAGGGACTGAATCCTATACCTTATATATATATATATATATATATATATATATATATATATATATATATATATATATATATATATATATATATAATCGGAATCTCGGAAACGGCTCAAACGATTTTCATAAAATTTTGTGTGCGGGGAGTTTCGGGGGCAATAAATCGATCTAGCTAGGATTTATTTTTAGAAAATGTCTTTTTGTCCGTATTTTTAGGTACATCAAAACTGCTACAATATCGTTAGAATAAGAAGGTAAATTTTGAGTTTATTAATGATTACAAATAGCTTAATTGGTATATTGGGCGGTCACAAAATCATAATACCAAAATTATAGTACCAAGCCCAGACCGACCGACCGACCTTTTTTAATTTTTTTTTTCAAGTTCCTTTCTTTTTGAGAAAATCTATTTTTCGAGCCCTTTTTTTTAGTATTTTTTAAAAACACGAAAATTTAAATTAAACTAATTGCACTCACGATTTTTTATTCAAATAACCAGTTCAGTTTTTTCTATTATGTCGCTAAGATCAAAAAATATTATTCGTATTTCATCAGTATGTAATTTATATCTAAATATAATTTCCAAAACACACGAATTAAAAAAAACCGAGCGAAAAATACCGAGCAAAGCTCGGTCAACCGGGTACTCTCCTTAATACAGGCTATGGTTTTAGTATAGCAAGGAGAACAGAACGTCATCCTCACTAGTTTTTTTTACCTAATTTTATTGCTGTCTCATGTAAGATTTTTTTCTTTATGTACTACAAGTTGAAGTATAATAAATTATTATGATTATTATTAAAATGCTTCACGACTTAGATATGTTCTCTATTTCCCGTTCAGCCTTCAAATTTAAATTAAAAAAGTATTTTAGTAACAATTATAAATAGATATATAAATTATTGAACATTTTAGTTTTCAGATTATTGTTTTGCTTGTTATTTAAGTATAGACTTGTTACCCTGCTTGTTGTGCAGACGATACCAATTACAAAAACAAAATTTGTAGGGAACAATTGTAATTACTACTGTTTATTTTACTTTCTATGATTTTTCTACAAATGTTTTGTTTCTGTTTTGTCTCCAATAAAGTAAATAAATAAATAATTTACTGCAAAAACGAATAAAAACACGACACATAGCAAAATTTCTTGACCCTAGCCATAAACAGTAAGATGGCAGCAAACACGATAATTGAAAACCGTTTTCAGATACCGATATAAGTAATAATTGGTGCACCTTAATGCGAACATAACCGCATACTGTAAAACCAGTGAAAAAAATGACAGCCGAAACATAACCGCAAACTGTAAAACCAGTGCAAAACATTTATTTTATGAATAACTTAGATTATTAAAGGTAGTTTATATATTGATAATAATTTTTTTCTCTTCATTAGGCTTACCAACAATTGATAACACTAACACGTCAAATTAATACAATTAATTAAAAGTATTAACACAAGTGCTACAATTACTTAAAGGTAAACTCCGCATGCATATAACTTTATAAAAAAATTGTAAAAACAATAAGTTGTTCCTCAACTAAAATTAAATACATATTTATTAGTAAGAATAGTGCTATATAAACTAAAAAATTTAAAAAAAAACTAATCTATTTTAATTTACGCTATTAACTTATACATTAACGGAAACACTTAGAGAATGTTTTGGGTGAGTCAAAGTGAATGTCGATTTGATCGCTATATCCATTAATAACTTTGCAGAACCTGGCATAAGGAGAATTCTTTCCCAAGACAGTTCTTCTTAATGGTGGACTAAGTGGTGCAATAGAGCTGCAAGGTAATCTCGAAGGTACACGAAACTTAAAAAGTTCCATTAAACTGGGGCAATTAAATGTAGAATTAAATATTTTTTATTTAGTAGTATAAATAAAGTAATTGACATGTATTAAATTCTGTTTTCTGGAGTATTTAACATGTTGTTGCAGCACCATTGGATAATCTATCAATTGTTGCAGCACCATTGGATAATCTATCAATGTCACTTTGTAATAATTTAGTATCATCAACACTCTTAATTATTCTCATAAATTTTAAGTCATCAGCATATAAAAATATTTTGAAAAGAGAAAACATTTTTTAATATCGTTTATGAAAAAAAGAAATAAGACTGGTCCCAAATGAGAACCCTGAGGAACACCAGAACTTATAGTTTTAGTACTTGATTGAAAACTATTAATTGCAACTAAGAAGGTCCTTTGCACTAAATACGAATTCAACCATTTGAGTAACAAGCCACAAATCCCGTAGGCACACTACTTAGAAATCAAAATCTTATGCGAAACCTTGTCAAAAGCTTTGCTAAAGTCAGTATAAATAACATCAGCCTGACGGTATATGTCAATAGCTTCGTACAAGAATTCCGTAAAAGGAACTAAATTCGTACTAGTGGACCGAGACCTGAAGAACCCATGCTGATGGTCACTTTTATAGAGGCTTAAGTGCTGTTGAAGATGATGACAAATCAACGACTCAAATACTTTAGCAAAGGTTGACAGAATTGAAATGGGTCTATTATTGGAAATGATATCGATATTTGACGACTTATGTATGGGAAATACTTGTCCTATTTTCCATTTTAAAGGAAACATGCCAGATGCTAAAGACAAGTTGAAAATTACACCCTGCGCCTTTATTACAATCTAGTCCTTTGAGTTTTTTTTTTAATTTTTTTAAATTTATTATTTAAGTTGGCGATTATTTTTCATGCTTAACTAGGCTTAGGATTAGCAGAAAAGTAGATTTATAAGACAACGTTTTTTGACAATATTTACAAACAGCAAGACACACAGAATTGTCTTTTTTATCAAAGTGAGACCATAACACTAGCTTTACGCGACATTTTGAAAGTTTTTTTTACAAAAATGATTAAGAGTCTTAATCAAATTATACTATACTATATTTTCACTGTACACATAATTGTCTGAATTAAAACCTAAGTAAAAAATGCGCAAAAATATTGCAAATAAATGAACGAACGAAACGTCAAAAATTAATAATTTTATAGCTTATAACTTTGGGTAATTATTTATTCGCGATGTGCACCGTTGTGTGATAACTACCAAAACATCGCAACGAAACCCATGTTCGCTTCATCTTTTCTTATTATTATCGATGCAAGAGCACCAACGAATATCAACGAAGGACATTAGTTTGTGGGCCGTTTTGGCAGATCGTTTCACAGTTTTCGTTATGCGTTGCAATTTCGTAATTTCGTTTCGTTTTGATTATATTGTATTTTGGTTCCATCACTGTCCTTCCATTATTGTTTAGATTGTAAGCTTAGTAATTTTAAAACACAATTTATGTCTAACCTAATCGTCACGTGTATTTTTTTTCTCTGTGTTTGTTTGTTTCATATGTTTTACTTTCCGTTGGGATTTATTTGTGATGTATTGATATGGTCCACTGCTCGAACTACTCGAACGAGTCGAAACGGGCCACACTGAAAAACAGGGGCTGTAGTTCGCCACGCCAAATGCTGAGTGAGACCCCTTTTCGTCACATTCGGCAACGTCTACTCTATATAATTTTTTAAAAAGCTTGGAAATAACACAACTATGTACAACATGGCGTTGTGCCTATGTGGCGACGTAAACATTTTCTTTCTTCTTTCTTTCTTTAAATCAAATTGTGGCTACTGGAAAATAATATTCCATTTGATAAAAAGTTGCAGAAACTATCCTTATTGATGCTTGTAAAAAACATAAACCTGAACCGGTGTATTATATCGATGAAATCATAGGGATCTAGGGGAACATGGACATACAGTGGTAAGACTACCCTATCATTGCGATCTGAACCCCATTGAATTAGTTTGGGCAATGGTAAAAAGGCGAATCGCACGAAAGAATATTTGTGGTTAAGATGTTGAGAAATTGGCTACAGAAGAATTTCAGTCAGCAACTCAACAGGAATGGAAAATTGTGCTGACCATGTCATCAAAATAGAAAATGAATATTTTGCCCGTGAAGGATCTCCAAATAATGATATAGACAAACTAGTCACCGCAGTAAGCGATGATAGTTCCAGTGAATCTGAAGAGTCAGAAATAAGCCAATTTAATTACGCAGGGGCTTCAGCCAACATTTCGGGAGTTGAATACCTCGACTCAGATTATTTGGACTCAGATTAATAATCAAAATATAATAACTATATATCAACATTTTTTGTTTTATTTTTTCGCCTTGAGTGTTTGCTGTCTGTCACGGCTGGTCTTGTGTAAAACCTGCTTTCCCTAATTACTTGTAAGATGAAGATACATAGTCAAATTATCTAAATTATTAAGTATGTGAATTTAGCTAATTACTGTTGCTGGAATATACAAGGTTCAAGGGTTACGCATACCAATAAAAGTATGCACTTGGAAAAATATGACAGTAAAGGGACCATAATAATAAATCAGTTTATAAAATAAAAAGTATCAAAACTTTTCGGTTGAAATCTATGGGCATGGGTATAAGAGATAGTGGCCCTCCTTTTTTCATGAGTTACTTGACAGACTGTATATATATTTTCTAAAGTCAACCCTTAGTTGTTACAAATAAGGTTTAAAATTGAACAGGCAAGCCCAACGGCACTCCTTATGAGACCAGTTTATGTTAGCAACATATAAACAATAAAAGTGTAACGAGACTACTTAACCCTGCAGTGGTCGCGCCTTATAAAATAACGTAAATCGTCGCGTGGATTACGTATGTAGTCCAATTTAAAATAAGAAGTAATATTTAAATTATCAACTAAAATGTATTTTTATTTTATTATAAATATGAAACAGGCTAACATTTAGTCAACGGTTAATCATATTTAATAAACAAAAACCATGTATACGTCCTTTTTTATTTAAATTATAATATTTAACAAAACTTCTACATATTAATTTATAAAAATATCACATTAATTTCAAAGTTAGATCAAAAATCAGTTTACATATTTTTTTCCTAATCATTTGGTTACAGAAATTTGAAATTATTTTACAGTGGTTAACTATTGTAATCGCGACCACTGTAAGTTTAAGTGTTTAATTGAAAATGGTATCATATTGATGTGTGATTTAACTGTGATGTGCGGATCGATATCGATAATTTTTCATTATTATTCATTGAACAAGTAAAGAAAACAGAAAAACAAACACTCAAGTAAAGAAGTTTACCTATTATTATAATAAAAGTGTGAATGAACAACTTTTGTCCTAATATTAAATAAATTCAACAAAAAAAATTTTAACTATAGAAACAGAAACAGAAACTTTTTTATTCAACGTAGATTATAAACAATACTTATTGAAAGTCACTTTTACCACTGGTTCGCAAAAGAAACCGCTGTCCTGGGTAGAACCAGCAAGAAACCCAGTGGGACTATTTTTTTTTTCAAGTAATAGCTTACAATCATGTTTACAATTAACAACACAAGGTAAGGTAAGGTCACAGCCTATATACGTCCCACAGCTGCACACAGGCCTCCTTCATTTCTGAGAGTGTTTTAGGGCAAGGAAGTATCCGCCGCGCTGCCCGTATGCTGGTTGGCGAACTTCACATGTCTTCGAAATATTCTTTTTCTTATTCCTCAGACATGCAGGTTTCCTCACGATGTTTTCCTTTACCGCCGAGCACGTGGTAAATAGGCGCTTAAAATTGCAATTAACAATTTCATTGGTGGGCGGCGGTGATCGAACCCGGGTTACTCGCGTTCTGTTATATTTACAGCGAGCGTTAACCATCTGAGCTACCACGGCTCACAAGATAAGACGAAATAGAAATAGCTTGGTGCAATCACCCTTCCCAGAGGTTATTATCATTATCATCCATAAATTCCTTAATATTATAATAACCCTTTTATAATATTAAGGAATACCATCTTAATTTAATAAAAATTTTTAAATTTGCGTAGGACTATGTTTGACATTAGGAGTTACGAATTTCATACATTTAGATTTAGTTCCATTTAAATGCAAATTATTAACATTACACCAATTGACTTACTTAGCTATAGTATATTCACCTCGTCGTAATTTAATAACTGTCGTTTTAATTTGAAAATTAATGAAGTATCATCACCAAATAATTCTATATCATGGTTATTCCCTACTATGTAAAGTAATTCGTAAACAGAAAGGGGCCGAGAACTGAGCCCTAAGGCACGCCCATTTGTACAATCGACTTTTTTTTTTATATATAGATTATTTTCCTTTCCAGGAGGTCGAGTCTGTAGAGAGCTATAAATCTCAGTAACCAGGTCCTTCTAGTTCTACTCCATCATTAATCATGCACGCAAGCAATAATTGTCTCTTTAAAATTTCGCTTTCTTCAATTCCTGTCTTTCTAGGACCTGTTTGTTTTATTTATTTATCAAAGATATCTCTGTCAGCGAATCTAGTACTTCTTGCAAACTTGTAACTTTTTTCTTTGAATACCGTTTTAAAATAGGCGATGTTGTCACTAAGATCAACCTAAAATAAATTTTATATTTTTTGTACGAAATAATAAGTTGAGATACTTTATTCATTTTTCACAAAAGCATTTTATTGTCATAATATAATTGTCGATTTGTGATGATGGCTTGTTATTTAAAACATAAGTTCCTACACTTTTTGTTTTTGATACTTAAAGCCTTTTTATTTCTGGTATTTATGTTTAACCATGACAAATTACAACTCTTTAGAATACCAATAGTCTCTGTACTAAGCCGCGGACAAAATGACAGACTGTTGAACTTGGCGAAACTATAAACGTTCTTTGTTGTGTTACTACGAAACCTTTGTTCGAGTGCATTTTGCTAATGCTTTGAGTTTTTCTCTTTTTCTTAGGGAAACTTTCCATATAAAATATCGATATGGTAGCATAGCAATTAATTTTTCCGTCTTATATTCGTAACTTTTTCTATGTTGATGTATTTAACCTACGTGTGTGCGTAAAATGTAATAGTGTTAGAGATTTAGATTTGGGTGTGCAATAATGACACAAAATTTTATTGAGTAGGTGTGCAGTACTGTCTATGTAGTGTTTCCTCCCGCGCACCAAAAGTGACAGATATTTTTGTTCGTAGCATTAGTCGCATTACTCGTACATTGGGTTGTATGGTATAAGATTTTCGTACGTTCATTAGATATTTGGTTTTGGTTGGATATGTGATAACTGATAACGGTTATGTACTTAGATTTATCGATATGATATGATATTTTGATATCATAATGTTATTTGTTATATTTTGATACATCGGTCACATGTCTAACAAGTGATCGTGTCAGTCAATCGAACTCCGACAAAAATGCCGAATTGCAGTGTATTTTTACGCAAAAATCACTCAAAACGTCAAATATACAAAAGGACAACGTGACTTTTCATCTGTGAATATTTTTAACATAATATTATATTTAAAACTTGTATTCTCCGAACATTTTCGTAAAATACTAAATGTTGCCATCATAGAACATGAAGTAAAAATAAGCTATTTTTAAACAAATATAATTTACTACACAAATTAAATATATTAACGACAATTTATTTCTTATGACCTATGTCAATGTCCGGTGAATAATAATCATTACATTAAGATGTGTAGTGGATTTTGTCAAATGATTTAAATATTCAGCTCAATCCCAACAATATTATAATTTAATATAATCGATAACTAGTATTAATCAAAACATAAAATATCTATAAAATAAAGGCCAAATGAGTCGAATCGACACTTGCCAACTCGTAGCAAACGTATGCCATTTTTATAAAATAAACTGGTATCACTGCAACCGAAAATACTGCAATGTAGTGATGTGCACCACAACTTTAGCTATCGATAAGTTAATTAACCATTCGGGTTTGTCTGCTGACCTGGTTTTTATTTTTTGTTTAGATTTTATAATAAATTAGAGTGATATATGCATATTACATATTGTAATGAATTAAAGGAAGTTAATTTCTAGCTGTAATAATATCAATAGAATAAATATTTTTATTATTACCCTTGGCACCAATATTATTCTTCTTGAAAATACTTTAGAATTTCGATAATTTTATAATAATGACCTTTTTATACAGGATATGGTGATAAACGAGCACACAGTTCACCTGATGGTAAGTGGTTGCTGTGGCCCATAGACACCTTACATGTACCCTCGATTACAAATCAAAGTGCAGATGCGTTCTCACCCGTGAGGACTAAGATAGAATGCCTCATTTTCAATAAAAAGGTTTCCGGTTCTCTACACTCACCAAACGAAACATAGCAGCATTAAGCTACTATTTTACGCTGGTATTCTGTGAGAGCGTGGTCCTTCCACGGTCGAGCCGCCCCATTCGTGCTACAACTATACTACTAATATAACTCCAGCATAGCTCTACCACGTCAAAAACTTCTTATATACACTATACTACTATACTTATATATTAGCACGAACACTACAAATTAAATAACATTATCAATTTTATCGCGTTCAATTTTAAATTTTTGATTTTCGACGTTTCGGGTGCTTTCCAACACGTGCTCGTGTCACACCTTTGGGAAAGTGTGGCACGAGCCGAGGCGATGTGGCACAAAAGCTACTTTATTTAAGCAAATAGACTATACGAGGGCTGCACTAAAAGTATCGGGAATGGAATATTTCCACTATTCCTGTCATATTAAAATCTTTTTAATTGAAAACTCCTTGGTTTTAAAAATCGAATACCATTTATTTATTTAAAAAAAGATTCTCGATCTTGTCACAAGGTTTTGTCAAATTTGTTTAGTCGTTGGGAAAATGGAATTGATTTGAGAAAATTCAAGAGCGATGATTTATTATGACTTTTGAAGTGGTTTAACACAAAAACAGTGTGTTGACCGGATGATTTCTGCATTTGGTGATGAAGCCCCATCCAAAACAACAATTTATCGCTGGTTTGCTGAATTTCAACGTGGACGTGTCTCAGTGATGATCCCCGTCAAGGTCGTCCAAAAACTGCAGTCAACCAAGAAAACGTTGATGCTGTGCGTAAGCTGATTGAGGAAGATCGAAATGTGACATACCGCAAAATTCAGGCAACTTTAGACATTGGCATGAGTCAAATACAAATAATCTTGCGTGAACAATTAGGTGTAAAAAAGTTCCGATGGATACCGCAATCGCTCTGTGAAGAGCAAAAAGCGGCTCGCGTTACT